CCTTCATGTGTCGAAAACAACAGGAGTCCAACACATATGATTATATTACAGTGGTGAAGGATTGTGAAGAACCAATTACACTTTTTGGAAGAGTTGAATACAGAGAACTGGCACACATAGTGTGTGTGTAAGTTTATGACTTTTTTTTTGTAACTCTATGTTCTCATGTCACAAAATGATGAACTTTAGTTCCAAAGTAATGAAAAAGGAATTAATTTGTTTTAGTTCTTGAAAAAAAAGTCACCTTTAAACTGAAATTTGATTTTACTAAATATGCAATAAGGGTAAATAAAAAAAAAAAATTTCAGAAGCTTTATTTTTCAATTTGCTAATGATAGTACTTTAGTATTTTTTAACGCAATTAACAGTTTATAGCTATAACATAACATACAAATTTACAAATAAGCAAAAACAAGTTCTAGAAGGCTCCAGAAAGTCATAGTACTACTATACTTACATATGATTTTAGAAATTTCATGTTGGGGTGACATTTAAACAAAATTAAACCCTTCTTCATTATTTTTTAACAAAAAGTTCATCAAATTATGATATAGGAAATCAATTATTTTAAAAAATATCAAAAAGCCATAACTGTCTCATATATATATATATATATATATATATATATATATATATATATATATATATATATATATGTGTGTGTGTGTGTGTGTGTGTGCACACACACACACATATATGCCTGTATTAGGGTCTGATTAGAAAGTTCTCAGCTCGTTCAAAATAGGATTCCAAAAAATTTGCTTGGTCATTTAATCAAATTTTGGGAAGTGGGATGGACTGAGAACTTATCAACATTATTGTATATTGTACAAGGTGGGATTACACCCTAACTATATATGGAATTGAAATCTTATTACATTCTGCTGACATTAAGTAATGTCCTGATTCTATCTTTATAGTGCAATGAGAAGATATTGTTTATGAAATAGATCCCTAATACTAAGATTCATTATTAATATTCTTAAACAGGTCCTCATTCTATTAAAGATGTACAAGAGACAAACATTTTAATACCAGTTTGTCTGATAAAGTTTCATTAATTTTAATCTTTTTTTTTTCAGTTAATCTCCTGCTAATAATGATTTATAATAGTTGTTTCTACTAGTTTAATTTTAACCTTTATATGTGCAGATTTTTGAAAAACCTGCATTGTACAAATTCCCAAAGTATTGCAGTTTTCAAAAACCTATACACACCTATATATGCACTTTTGAAAAGTAGCCTAAAAGTATATTTTTATGTTTTTTTTTTTTGAATTGATCATATTTTGTATTAATTGGACAAATATATCTATGAAGAGAATGATAAAACAACTATATTAATACTGACTGAGAAGAAAGATGGAAAAAAAATGATAATTTTTAAATATAATTGCTGGAGAAAGAAAAATAAATTGGAAGTGGCAATAAATTTTAAGAAAATGAAATAAGCAGGCCAATCACTAGAGTGTTTTGAGTTAGGGGGTGCATCTTTTAAATAGGTGGGAGGATGTCTTTTAAATCATGGGGGAGGCTAGTAGGAACCTGCATACTAAATTTAGTTCACATTAGTAGAATTAGTTTCATTTCAAGTGATATTCTGAGGGAAGTCAGTCTCCTCCCACCTGCCAACAAGTCTTGAATTAATGAAAAAAAGTTTGCATCACTAAATTTCAAGATCAGCGCACTTTGTATATATGTTCAATTTCTTTTCTTGCAAATGTTGCATCTAGTTTATTTGCACTGGTAAACAAAAGATACAGGTCTTCATTTTTTGAAATATAACTGTAAATTTAATAACAAGGTAGATAGTAAAAATAAAAATTATGTGATAATATAATTTTCAATAACATTTAATATCTGTACTGCTATACATAAACAAACTAAATAAGTGCCATTAAATAGTTGAATAGCCAGGTTTTAGACTTGACCTTAATGTCATGATTGCCATGTGTGCATCAAATTGAGGTTGCACCATTTAAATAATCTACTTAACCTTTAGCACTCTGCATTATTAATATTATTTCCCTTTCCACTGCAGTCTTTTTCAAGGCCTCTCCATTACAGTCTCCTTATTGTTAATTTCACTCAAAGTTGTTTTTTGTTGCCACAGCAGGATATGACAGCACAACTATGAAATTCAAACACACAGGGATCAGAATCACCTCCAGTGGCAGGATAAACTTTTTTGTACGGCAAATGGAGTCACATACAGAGTGATAAAGATTAACAAAACAGTTTCTAATATCACCTGATCAAAATAATTAAATTGTATCAATAATGTATATTCTATTTATTAAGCAAACAGATTGTTTTAATAATCAATAATAGTCAAATTATCTGCATTTTTAAAGATAAAACCAGGCATTTATTATTTTCATGCAGTGGATATGTATTTGAAAAACTAATGCTAGTCTAACAATTATTTTCAGAATGCAGAAAAAAGATTTCATAAAAACCATAAAGCTCTATTCACCCTTTCAAATTTTTTATAGTAACCTCTTAGAAGGTACTAATTAAAAAATTGTCATTGCATCTTACATATTAAAATGTGGCTTAAGTCATGTGATTAGGTTTAAAATGGTTCTGTTCTAAAAGTTACCATCTATGATTTTCTTGTGTTTAACTTGTTCTCAAGTTAATTTGCATATTCTTATATGAAAATTATAAGAATCAATAAATCTACATTTTGATGAGTGATAAAACAAACATTAATCTTGCTTATATAAATCTATATATAGTTCAACTGATTTTTTCAAAATTATTTTTTTAAGGAAAGATTAGGAAAGAGATAAATTACTAAGCGTTTTATTTTTATGCATATTTGGTGACAATTTAAATTTCAGACTTAATATGACCAAAAAATAGAGATAGTCATTTTATATGCAAGAATAAAATTATAAAATGGTGGGTTGGTAGGGGTAAATCAGATAAGTTTTAAAGATTCTGGATTTTATATATTTTTTTATCTGATCCTCTCAAAATGAACATATTCTTTTATTTTTTAAAATTTTTATTATACTATATTGTAAACACCTATTGTGCTTTGATTTTTTTTTTTTTCGTTTGTAATTATTTTCTGGAATGAAACCTATAGACTTTTTTTCCGCATAAAGTGTTATTTTGAAAATAAATGGCAGTAATCATTTTAGACAAATGATACAGCTCTGCTCATATTGAAGATTGTCAGACATTGAGGCTAAGAAGACAAATTTAGTTTTCTGTTTAGTTTGTCAGTTTCAGTAAAAAGTTGAGGGGAGGTATGACCGCAAACTCTCCCTATAGTGCTGTGGAAGATATAATGATTATAAGGGGTCATTCCCCAAAAAAGTCAACAGACATTCACTGTTTTTAGCCACATGATAAAATCATTTTAACAAAACTAGTACAATTTTTTTTCAGATACTTAACTTACAAGTTGGACTTTGGTTTTAAAACAGGGTAATTTTTTGGTTAACCGCGATTTTTTTTTAAACATAAATGTTTATTATCAACACAAGATAATTTTTCAAAACAGTTATTAACTTTGATTTTATTTATTTTTATCTGACAAAGTAATTTTACTGACATAGTTACGCTTGCCTTAATTCCTGACCATCAACAATCATTTTTCCCCCGATTTTCAATACAATAATACCCAACAATCAACACTGATTGAATTCTTAAAAATATAAAAAAAAAAATATAATTTATTTAGTATTTAATTCTTCCCTGCCAGAAATGAGTGAAAAAATTATCACGCGCTTATAAATAATTCAATCGTAAAAAAAAAAAATTAACCATTTAAAAAGAAGGAATTCAAGAAATCCCATGAGTGTGACTGTGAACGGAGTTATTGTAGAATTCGTACGAAGATCAGTTGGATTTTTGCCAAATAATACTCTGTTAGTGTTCAACTTAAACAATATTACAATAATTTATTTTTGTCTTTATTAGTCGCAACTCACAATTAATTATTATTATTATTATTATTAACCAAATAATTAGTTGAGAAAGTCGACAATAGCAGAAGTCTTCTTTGGTCATGTGATCACCGTGTCATTAAAATAAAAATAATAAGTAAAAAATTAAAAAAAAGAAGCATTTTTATGCAGATTAAATTAAATTTCAGCTTTGATTTATGGTGGTGGTGGTGGTGGGGAAATAGCAGAAATAAAATACTGCATTTTGGGCGATATTATTTTGGATGCATGACTTTTGAAATCCAATAGATTAAAAAAAAAGTCTCTAAAATGAATGAAGGGAGGTTCCTATGAGGATCGTTTTAAAAAAATAGGGTAGGGAATACAACGAGGGTAATTTTGTGTTTGTTATACATAAATTCTTTGGAGCCGTGAACTCCTCATTCACCTACCAAAATATAAATAAAGATTAACACTTTTCACATTTGAAAAAAAATACTTTTCCATCGAAAAAGTTAACTCGTTTCTCTTCTTCATCGATCAATGTCATTTAGACTGTCTTCGAGAAAACTAGACGTACAGTACATATATTAAAAAGAGGAACTAATTATAACGCTTAGTAATTTCAGTTAAAATACAAATATATAAATATATACTGAAAATAAAATAAACGAGAGAAATTAAATTTGAAAATCGCACAAGAAGATCCAACCAAAGTGAACGTCACTTCGATTTTTAACAAGAGTAAATGATCATGAGACCAGTAGTTTCATAAAGTAGGAATAAGAAATTATTAAAATCAGGTAATAACTGATAATTAATATACTATATACTAAAAAAATGAAGAAAAAAGGTGTTTATTAGAAAAAGCCAGTTACAAAATAAAATAACAACAGATCACAAGACTGTTGCAACCAGTAAATATTTTTTTTAACAAGGAATAATCGATAAAGTCATTGATAAAGAACAGATATAATGTTGTACACATATCATCGTATCAAGATGCAAAAACAAGTCAATAAATAACAAAGAAACTAATTTTCCAAAACTTGCACCCAATTTCAAAAATAGTAATAAAAGAACAGCATATTTCTCTTACCTTGCTTGGGCCAAAATCGCATCCACCATGGACAACGCCATAGTCGTCGAACCTTGCAAAGACCTCAGTGCGCAAGATCGGAAGTTTCCGTCGCTTAGTAACCAAAGTAGGCATCGTCGGCTCTTAGCAACAACCATGGCAACCAGAGATCAGTGTTAAAGAAAAAAGCAGCTAAGGAAAAAACGAGAAGGCTGCAATATTGGTGAGTTTTTTGGTTCTCGAGAAAATCTTTCATTATTATTACTGATGTTATTAATGTTATTACTATAGCGTGTCAGGTTCGTAACCTTTACAATTACAGTACTGTCGATTTTTTTTAAGTGTAAAAAAGAAATGTTGTCGTTCATTGCTCACTGTTGTTGTCAAATCATTTAAATGTCTCAAATCTACAGCCAAGTTTTTTTTTTTTAATTATTTTTTACTTAATAATAGGGCACTTTGTTAATATACAAGGTACTGAGCTATTGTTCCACAATATCAGTAGTACTGCTAAAAGTCAGTTTATTTGTTGTGTAATTGAAGCTGGCAAATCTAATGGAGAATCAAGTGACATCAAGTCTACTCACGACTCCAGCAATTTTCTCAGTATTCTTTGGCAACTTTAATTATGTCAAACAAAAAAAAAAAAAAAATGTGTGTCAGAAGGACGGTTTTTCCGTTGACACCGATTATTTTAACTACCTTCACTCCTTGGCAATGTTTATTGTTTTAAAAAGTGATGATTGGAATTGTAATAAAAGCTAAACATGTAATGAAAGCGAATTTACACATTTTTTCTTTGTGAGAATTTACAACAAAAATATTAAACTAAACACTATTTATTTATTTATTATATTGTTTATTTACAAGAATAATTTTAAAACTTAACATTCTAAAAGAACACAATGCAACAATACTTATCATTTACCAATTTATAAAGAAATAAAAACAATTTTTTATTCATAAATTATAAACATTTACTAAATTATTGAAATATATGAACAAACTAAAGAAATCCTTATTATTTACCATTTTATAAAGTTTGAATCAGTTGGGAATTAGCCGATGTTTTGCCAATCATTCCAATAAATAATATAATAAACAATGTAAATAAACAATATAACAACTTTAATGTAAAAAAAATAAAATAATTTAAGAAATAACAAATAATTGTTGTAAAAATTTATTTTTCATCGAAAACGGTTTTTGCTTTCAGAAAATATTATCCATATTCATACAAACAAGTAAAAGCAACTAAAAGCTTTTGAAATTAAATAATATCTTTGTTTTATTGAGTTTTGTATGTTACAATTCAGAGCTGATTTTAAGGTAGAAGGGTGTCAACTAAAAAAAAAAAAAATGATTTGCTTTCCTCAAAGCCTTGTGCTTTTAACTAATTAATCGCTGAAACTGTACAAATTAGAATTTCATGAGTTTTCATAAAATTAATTATGGGGGTAAATATAAAAAAATTTTTTAGCATGACTTTAAAAAAAAATAAACACATTTATAATAATTTCAATCATTTGTGAACAGTTTCTGAAAGTTTCATTAAAATCTGACAATTATTTTTATTTTTGCAAGATTTTCAAAATTAATGACTGCCATTAAAAAAACAATACACAAAAATCTGCCATGTTATTTAGTAGGACACTCGCTGATGATGAGAAATGATGTTTTTCAATCAAAAGTTAGAATGCTCTAATAAAATTTTGAAAAATAATTAAAAATCACTTTGTTCTTTCCTCAATAAAAACATAAACATTTTGATGATAAAATTTTGTTTTCGTCAAGTTTAAGGCCGTTATGTTGGTACCTAGTTTTATTATTTTTGTTGCCAATTCTCAAGAACAAGAAAATGTATGAATTCACTTTCATCATATGTTTGGCTTTTATTGGGGAAAAATGTATGACAAAGTGGAAACAGATTTATTGTGACACATTTCATCTTTTAGGGCTTCATCAGACTAAATTTGTTATGTTGGTATGACTACACATGTGCATGAATGAGGGAAATTTTTTTTTTTAGTTTTTATTACAGTTCTAATCATCTCTTTTTTGCTGTTCTGGGCATGACAATAATCTACATCTGTGTCCTGGGTAAGACGATAAACTACATCCAACAGCAAGGCCTCTCTGATCAGGAGGTTTTGAGGAGTGCGGAACCACCTCTTAATTGCTGGTGTTCCCAGGTCCACCCTGACCTGAAGTGGTAACGCCTATTAGGGTCCCAGCTATGGAAAAATAGTTAATCCCCAAACTGGGTTCAAAACATTATGAAAGTGTAAAAATAGGTTTTAATACCAGAAATACTTTGTAAAAAAATATTACCAGCAATAAATTTTTGAAGGAAAAATTATTACCAGCAATACATTATTACTAGAAATACATTTTTGAAAAAAAAAACTAAAGACAGCTATACATTTTTTAAAAAAAAAAATATTACCAGCAATACATTTTGAGGAAAAATATTACCAGAAATAGATTTTTGAAGGTCGAAAAAAAAAATATTACCAACAATACATTTTTGAAAAAAAATATTCCCAGCAATATGTTTTTGAAAAAAAATATTACCAGTTATACATTTTTGAAGGAACAATATTACCAAAAATAGATTTCTGAAGAAAAAAATATTACCAGAAATAGATTTTTGTGAAAATCAAATATTGGCAGCAATAAAAATTTTGTCGGCATTAAATAACCCATTGAGGTTGATATGCTGTAAGACAAAGCAAACCAAACCATCTCTTTTTTGAAAACAATAAATATTACTAAGGATTGAAGGTAGTTAAAATAATAGTGGTGTCAATGGAAAAACTGTCTTTTGATACTTTGTTTTTTTGTGGGCACAAAGGTTCAAGCTTGCTCATTTAACTTCCAAAGTCCCAAAGAATTTTAATTCTTCTGTTCTCAAGATCAGTTTGTGCTGATATCATTTGTCTGTATGGCTGTTTACACAATTCCCTGTGGTATCATTATTCCAATTTTGTCATGCTTATTTTGAGTTAATTTGCTGCATTCATTTATTTTTTATATTATTTATTTTTGCATCATTCTTTCCATATTTACTATTTTCTTAGTCCTTATTTATTTTAGTTTTAATATAATTAGTTCTAAAAGATTTGTTCAGGGACACTGTTACTAATATTAGTTTTCCTATCTGTCTATGTTTCTGAGATGAGGCATTGTAACTATTTGCACTATTTACATTGTTTGGACTGTTGTCCTCATCTTCATTGTCATATTCACAATGTATTGGCTGTTGTACGCTCTGACCTTCTTCAGGATTTGTCTATATTTCTGAGATTGAGGTATTGTAATTATTTACACTATTTACATTGTTTGAATTGTTGTCCTCATCTTTATTGTGATATTCACAATATTTTGGCCTTTGTATGCTCCATCCTTCATGATCTGTCTATATTTCTGAGATGAGGTATTGTAACTATTTACACTATTTACATTATTCTGACTGTTGTCTTCATCTTCATTGTCATATTCATGACATTTTGGCCCAGTGGATAAAGTGTTGGTTGAAGTAATCCAGTGACTTGACCCAAAGAGTTGTGAGTTCAATACCTAGCCACAGCAGAGATGAACAAAATTTGGTGAGTTGAGTTACAAAAGGGAAATAACCGAAACTGATATATCCAGAAAAGGCATGGCATGTGAAATTAGACCAGTCTACCTCAGTGGACAAAATAAAGGGTTCGGTTCAAAATTCCAGCATATATCACTTGAAGAAGGCTGGAGTGTACAACAGCTAAAATGTTGTGACTTTGACAATGAAGATGAGGACAACAGTCTGAACAATGTTAATTGTGTAATTAGTTTCCATTTTCAGGTGTCCTTTGCCCAACAAATATATTATTTGTGATTTTTTGTTTCCTAAATTCTTCATGAAGTTGTTTCTCTTGTCATTTTTGGCTATTGTTTTCTCTTTATATAAAGTCTATTGGGGTACTCTCTGAGGCATATGTTTTTGTTCATAGTTACTAGTTTTTTTCTCAGATCTATAGATTTTAGTTCTTTTTTGTCCAGCTTAGAAAGAGTCCAGAATATGGATACTACCTGTGAGCCTATGAGTTTATTCCACTGGTAAGCTTTCTACTGTTTAATCTTATTGCCCACTATCTTCTTTGTTCTCCTGATTCATTTAATTTACTTTCAAGTTACTAAAATATATATTATGGTCTTTGTTGCTCATTGTCCATTCACTGTTCAGTAGCTAAATTCTTTTTGCTGATACATCTTTTCTTTTTTACTTAACTAACATTAGAGCTGCATTTCTTCATTTGTCAAAGATTTTTCCATTCATGCTAATATGAATTAAGTACATCATGGTTGAATCTTCTTTGAAAGTACTATCAAGTAAATGTGTGTATTCACTATTTAATGATCTCCTGAAAGGCCTTTATATGTACATTACTCCAATATTATGGTATTTTGAGATAAGTAAGATATATCTACACTACAGTTCAAAAATTTGAGGAAACTCTTGATAATTTTTTCCATTATTTTTTTTTCATTTTTTTTTCACACTCAAGTTCATTTCATGCTAATTATTCTGGGGGTGTCTTCGGACTTTGGAATTGTAGTGTATATTGGAAGCTAAAGTAATATATCGTATACTAGGTCACACAGGGAACATGAAAGTAGTATAGTGGTTATTGGTACAGAAAGTGAAATTAGTGTGCTGAGTTAAAAATTCCATCTGAGTTCATTGTGTTCACTTTTGCACAAATACCTCTGGGAGAGGTATGGATCCATCTCTTCTTACCTAGCTATGGGTTAAATAGCAGGGCATACTGGAGTCTATAGCCTTAGTTGGCAACCAGTTTAGGAGAAGGATAACTCTGAATTCAAAACTGGCTGGGCATGGGGCTGACAACTCCACCTTATAAAGATAAACTTGCTACTGAAACCACAGCAGCAACATCTAATGTGGTGAGGCTGTGACCTTATTCTTGAAAGGGGAATCTAATGGCATGAAGGAGGAGAAGGCAGAAGAAGCAGAGAAGGTTACACAGGATGTTGTGCAATGTAGTGTTCCAGATAAGAT